TTAGAGGCCCCACAATCCCGCGTTTTTCTCTTGCCCATGGTTTTCATTCAGGGCATCAACAACGACGCCAAAACGATGGCCGGGAAATCCGTCCACGTAGGAAACGCTCTGTACCATGCCGGTGCGGTCCAGGCCGAACGGCTCCTCTCGAAATCCACGCTGCTCAGGAATAAGGTGGGTCAGTGCGAATACAAATCTCAGGGCTTGTCTATGGAAGAAGACATCGTTGACCGTAGCATGGGAGACTTGGTGAATCAAGTCCTCAATAAGCGTGGCCTCAAAACACAAGGCGGAACAACCTCCGATGCTTTTAAGGGCCAACAGTGACTCTTTCTGCGATGTCGAAATACGCCCTAAACACCCACACCATGAACGATCTAGTAGGCGTGTGCAATACCCATCGTCAAGCCGACGCATATCTTGCTCTACCTATTCTTCTCGCCACACAGAAGGTGAACTGAACCTTATTCGAGCGAGTTGACATGATGTCCAATACAAACCAAACGCTGACAACTCCTCCCCCCCCCTTAACCTCCAGGGCAAGGACAACAAACTGGTTGATCGGTGTGAGAAGGAGATGGAGTCTGTCAGGCTGAGCTACGGGTATCGTCACCCGGCCGTGGCGTCCGCTCTGAGCAGCCTTGCCCATGTGCTATTGGAGCAGGTAACTATTCTGAACTGAATATCGTGTCTGTCATGGTCGCTGGAAGAAAATGGCTACAAGGTTCTATTTCAAGGTGGTTGTACTAGTAGTGGGAATACGGCAGAGGGGTCCACAAAGAATACGACGCGCTCTAAATCAACACCACGAAAAGAATGTTCTGTAACGACAGGATCATGCACAAACGCCAGCGTGAAATCTTTGGGTTGCTAAACATTCTTGCAGCGAATCGGAATTATCGCATGCTTGAAAGACATAGTGAGCGCCTTGCAAGAAATCGGCAGCAATGTTGTCACCGGTTTACAGAGATGCTGGCATGCAATTTTGCCCCGAGAAAATCGACGTTTCCACTACAAGTCGAACGATAGAGCCCGGTGCTGTTCGACATCAATGCGATACTATTGCTGATCTGCCCTTTGCTGCTGTACGTTCAAGTCGCTTATTCCGCGCCCATGGCCCCCCCCCCCCC